CTGCCACCACTGTCTTTTGTTTGAGGGTGCTAAGGCCCATTAGCCCCAGCTTTCTGCCACCTATGACTTCAGCCCCAGAAGTCCCCCAAGACCCCAGGTAAGGCTGTTGTGACCAGCCCAGGTTCTGACCCCAGCCTCCCTTACCCCACCTTGGGAAATTTGCTGTGCACCAGAGTACCTGTGTAGGACAGTTCCCTGCGGGCAAGCAGCAGCAGCACAACTATGTGCTCCTGCTCTTTGTCCCTGGAGAAATGCTTGTGTATGCTTGTCTGGACATGCCCTCTGTGTCTAGGTTCAAGGGCCTTCTCTTGGCTTTTGTGTGTTCCCAGAACCAATCCAGTTTTATTACCTAACTCCTGCCTAAGCTCTGTTGCAATATACTTGGTGCTTGAGAGATCCTTGAGAGACTCTTTCAAAGTTTAAATTTATTCTGTAATCAGATAATTGGAATTTGGGTGGAATTTAGTAACCTAAGTCCAAAAGACTGATTCAAATTTGCCCTGCACAGGCAGATACAGAATGCATTTGGTGCCTAAAATTATTAAGCACTCCAACTTCATACTGCAAAGTTCCCTAGGCATCTACCCAAATCTTTTGGACATGATCAGAGAGAAAAAGTTACAGCAAGAAGGTACCTGAAGGTTAAGCTTGCTTTTTGCTCAATATCCTAGTAGCTATAGCACTCATCCAGGAACACAGAGGCCAGGCTTCTAGACAGAGACCAGGCTCACTCGGAAGAGATACGATGCCACTTCTTCTAGTTCCCAGGAGATTGCTTTTACTGGCTACTAAATAATATGTTAGGGAAGGACACTTTCCATCCCTCTTGTTGAAGATGGGCACATTAGCAACCAAGAATGTGTGTCATGGGGAAGTAGAACAAAAAAAAAGGGAATATGTTTCTGTAGCTTAGTTGGTGTTGACCTCTTGGGAAGGTAGATTCCTGGATTCCATTCTTGGATCCTTTATGCATTTTACAGTAGATACTAGGAAGTGTGCTGTGCACGCTTGAATCCTCTTGGGCTAAGGAGAGTCTAGGACACTAGTCTTAGATTTCTGAGAACAGCCATTACCACTAGCCTTTTGGGCAGATGCTAAGCACCACCATTAGTTCAATACCTCAGAAACAGGACTGCAAATGGAAAGGTACCCAAGCTAAGACACACCCCTATGCTCAGTGCTGTTACTTCTCGAAGCACTTCCTGACCTTCTCAATTTTCCATTGCAGTTGTCTGTCTTTCTCCATTCCCTGCATTAACCATTTACATACTTAAATCTCATTGCTCTTTGGGGCAGCCTAAGTTTCCCTTTGACCATAAAAATCCTAGGTCCCTAAATCCAGTTAAACTGGCTCACCCCCTAGAGATAAGGCATATTGGCCCTTTATACACACTACAAAATTGGCCTTTAAAGTGACTTAATGCCCTTTTGCACCACTTTAATGGTGCAGCTGTTTACACATGTCGGTGGTGTAATATGTGTTAAATGACTTTGGGACACCACAAAATAAAACATGTCCAAGTTGTTTTAGTTTGCTACCTTACAGCCTCAGAGTGAAGCACCGGGCCCCGTGCAGCTTGGGCTGTACAGGCAGCCCGGCAGCAGGCCATGCAGGCAGGCACCACCGAAGGAAAAAAAAAAAAAAAGTAGTGAGCATGATTTCCCCACCCCCAGACCTCCCCAGAGCCTGCCTGCCTGTCTGAGCTGCATAGGGGCCCAGTGCTTCCCTCTGCGGCTGCAGTGCCTCCCATGACCACCTGGGCTGGGTGCCTGACAGTGGGAGCCACCTGAGTGGTGCCATCACTGCCACAGAGATGCACCAGCACCCTGCCCCTCCGCAACTCAGGGACCACTCAGCCCGCTGGCAGCTCACCCTCCCCTCCCTGTCTCTGGAGAGGCAGGTAATGATTGGGCCTGACCCCTGGGCACATGCCATGGGGGTTTACTTCACCCTAAATTGAAGCGGTGTTTTTAAAAACCCATCGCTTCAATTTAGGAAGAATTAAACTGAAGTAAACCCCCATGGTGTATACAAATGGCCTTAGATATTAGGTTTTGGGACTGAAATACAGGTACCTCTGGGACTAAACTGAAACTGATCCTTACTGGATTTTAAATATTAAAATACAATTTTTTTCAAAAGACTTACTTCCCAGGACCATTACTAGCTCAATATCTTAGATTTAGTAAAACGCCTCAATGACTCTTTGCCCCCAACCAGTGGGACTTTTCCAAAATTTTTCAGGTATACTGAAACACAGAGAAACACAAGTCTTTATGAGTAGTCCATCATGAGTAAGAAATTAACTTAAATGATATTTGAATGCAAGTATCAATAATACATATTAATAATATAAAAATAATTGCCTAATATAATTTCCTTTCTTACACTGTATCAGGTGGTCTTCGTAGCACAGTTAGGACACTTCAAAACTATATTTTTCATTAAAGCTTCTTGGTGTAGTTAAAACTTAATTAAATTGTTGTGAAGTTGTAACATTCATGAGATCTTACAGGAGTGGAAGAACAGTGTATAAATAACATATATCCTGCAATATACTATTAGGTATTTATTTTTCTGTGTAATGAACAGAGGGATAAAACCTCATAGAGACCTTTTTCATATACTGCATAGTAACATATTTCAGAGGTTTGTCAAAAATCAATCACGGTACCACCTTGCTAATTATATTACTGTTGAGAAATCAGCACTGTTGTACTACTAGGTTTTTTAAAGGTGAATTATAAAGCTAAAATGAAAACGTATATCTTCTCAGAATGATATACCAAGTATGCGTGGGGGTTATTCACAAAATGACTAATATTAAATTTGTCTTTATTTAAAATTATTTTCTCCTCCCTTTTAAACCAAGTCATAGTGACTTGCCAATGTTGTCCAAGAATTCATCATTTTTTGAGATTACTGATGCTACAGGTGATTTGACATCAATGGGAGTTTTGACATCAACTTTAGTGAAGTCCGTATCTTAATGTAATTCCTAATAATAGAAGAGGACTCTTTCCTGTAAGGTTCTGACCCCCTCCAACTGACTTAGAAGTTTGTAATGATTCATCTGGGGACATTTTAGCTAAAAGGATAGTGCTGAGAGAGAAGGAAAATCTTTGGAGGGATACTTGTATATGCACGGAGCTAATTCATGCCTGGGAATTCACTTACTTCATTCATCCTCATATTGTACTTTTCAAAAGTAAACCTTACTGAGCCTGTTATTCTCTTCATTATGAAAGCACTTAAACCTCAAGCAACATCAAGGTTTCTATAGGTTCTGTACAAACCTATAAGATTATAAGAGACAATCATTTTCTCATGGAGCTTACCATCTATTTGATAAGAGAAAGAAACTAGGTAGGTCTGATATTTTTTGAAATGTTCCATTTTAATTACTTTTAGGTTGAAAAAAAAATATTTGATTTGCATACTTTTTGGGGCAAACTTTTTCATGAAGTTTTGTCATTTTAAAAAATCAACTATTCAAAATATGATATTTTCACAAATAATCATTTTTAACAGATTTTAATCAGTATTATTGCATAGATGATACACCAACATTCAGTAAAGATGAACAGCTTCCCAAGGTC